GCGCTTCACAGAATTCAGGAATAGTGGGAAAGAAAAGTCATGAAAAAATAAATTCTTTAAAAAATAATTAACAAAAAACGCGCATATTTCTGCGTCCTTTTTTTTTTTTTTTTTTTTTTTTGTGATTGTATCCTTGGTTTTGATGTTGTCCTTGATTTGTGTTGTAGCTTTGATTTTGTTGTTGATTGCTATTTTGCTGTTGACTGGGAAGATATGGACTCTGAGTAATGTTATTTTCTTGTTTGACATTGTTTGTCTGGATTTCTTGTTTTGGTTGAAGATGTTGGTGAGTTTGAATTTGTTGTCGATCAGTGACCGTGAATATTCCATGATTGGTGGTAGTTGGTTGATTAGTTTCAACATTTTTGTTAAAGTTTTGAACTTGTTTTGAATTGATTGACGTTTTATAAATAGTAACCAGTTCGTCTTTGGGTTTTCTGAAGGTTCCAGTGTTCAGTTGTTTCCAGTACCATCGGTAAATTTTCTCTGGGTTTATTTCCCATTCAGACTGGAGAGAAGGAGTAATTCGTCCTTTGAGGATCTCATAAAAGTTTCCTTGATCAAGTACGTAATGAACACTCGGCCATATGCGATTGTGAATGTGAAATATGTTTTGCTTTAAAACAGTTAGTTTAGCCACATAGTTCACTATTTCGCCCATATATTGAGATATGGCCTGTTTGGAGTCGTTCGCTGGACTTAATTCTTCAATATTAGTATAGATTTGTTGGGTGATTTGATTTACATTTCCAAATTTAGTAAATAACATTTGTACCAAATCAAGATAGTCGCTCTCATCTTCTTTTTGATGAAGCCCGTTAATTACAGTTAGGATTTCATCCTCAAAATGAAGAAGTAAAAGATCTCGTCGTTCAGCTGGAGTGAATTCCTCGGTAGGAGCTTCATGAATTTTCCTGAATTTGTTCCAGACCCTGTCAAAGTCGTTATCAAGTTTAGAGTTCATTTTGAAAGTTCTGAAATTTTTCATTACCTTTTGAGTATAATTCTGTATAAAGCCTTCGGAATTAGTATTTACACAAATCAATTTTCCTTGACCGTATAGTTTTACCTGACTTTCAATGTAGTTTTCGTCAAGTGGAAAAAGATTGTTTAAGGATTCTTGATTTTTAGAATTAGATTGGGTTTCAATGTTCCTGTTTTCACCGTCGTGATCCGAAGAAGATGTTCCAAGAGTAGATCCAGATGCATCAGTGGATTCATTGATGTGAGAGATCATTAAGCCAGCTTCTGCAGAGACTACATTTTCCCTTTGAGGGGTATTTTGGTTAGAGTTGTTGGTGTTGATGACGCTAGTTTCATTTTGAGGAGGGTCTGGAAACTCAATTGACAGTACGTATTTTTGAGTAGGACGAAGAGAGGTCCAGTTTTCTCTAAAGTTTTTTGGATGAAGAAATGCAATTTTTCGAAGTTCAGTTTTAAGAAGATTTACAGGTTCAGTTTCTTCCGGTGAGAGGAATTCTAGATTTGAAGATTCAAAGGTGGATAGAAATTCAATGAAAGTGCTGAGTGCTTCGTTGGCATAGTTAAGTTGGATTTCAGGGTTCTTTTCAGAAAGACTTAAATCTCCTGCACCCACGGCTCTAGATACAAAAAATAATTTTGAGATGAGGTCTCCTTTAGGAGTGGAGAGTCTATTATTGGTGGATCTTCGAGAGGGTGTGGTTTGTAAACGATTGAGATTTGTTGACCTTTGAGGTCTCGTAATACTTCTGACGGTAGAATTTCTGGGAGTTCTGGACCCTCTTGGTCTTCCTCGTGCCATTTTTAAGGTGATGTTTGAGAGGGTGTGGTTTGTAAACGATTAAGATTTGTTGACCTTTGAGGTCTCGTAATACTTCTGATGGTAGAATTTCTAGGAGTTCTGGACCCTCTTGGTCTTCCTCGTGCCATTTTTAAGGTGACGTTCTTTTGGACTGGATTATTTGAGTTCTCTTAGACAATTTGGGACTTTGAATGTACACACAAGGGAAAGAGTTGTCTACAGAATTGAACAAATATACACTTTTCTCCCGAGAACGATTTGGTAAATTTGATGTAAAATGGAGGATTGAAATGTACAATGGGAAATTGGGATGAATTCACATACACTTGGGGAATTTGAATATACACTGAGGATTAAGAATTCACACACACTTGGGAGAAATTCACACTTGGTTCTTTTGAATTAGAAAGGAATGAGTATGTCTCTTTTAGTAGTTCAGGAAGATTTTTTAGATTTACAAGGAAGAAAGTAACTAAAATTTGATAAGAAAATTTTCTGATATGGTTCGTTACGAAGAGACGTGAAACCACGCTCTGCTACCAATTTGGTTGGGAATAAATCCCAACAAGGTGAAGATTAGAATTTAGGATTGAAAGTTTTATAAAAAGAGTTTTAAATAAAACACAAGACTTCGGTTGGGCTACGACCGGGGTGCAAAACACCCTATTTTAAAGTTGGTATATATCGACACTCACAAAGATCTCGCGAAAATCTCGAAGAACGTTCACGCTCGACTCGGGTATTCGGAATGACTCGAAAGGATGAACTTGGAAAACAGGAAAACTGTCCTCCAAGGACGAAAAACGGCAAACGGAAATTAGTAACAAAATACAGCCTTGAAGGCTGTGGAAGGACATTTGTAATAAATTAATGCCTTGGAGGCTGCTGACCATCTGTGGGAACCAAGGTCTTCCGAGATTCCCACACAGATACTAAATGAAAGACTATATTCGTCGGGGAATTCGGGTTCTCCAAAGCTAGCGTATCGAATTTAATGTATCTGCTAAAATATTCGCGACATACTGCACGTTTCTCGAAGAAAAGTTTCTGTCGATGCTAAATGATATTTAAGTTTTAAATCGTATTTCATTCGTAAAAATGGCTTTTACTGAACTATTCCTAACTCAAGTAAAGACGAACATTTTCCCGCCTTTTTTTCTTTCAACTGGTGACAACCATAATTCCATACTCACCCGAAAAATCATGAACTTGGTCAGATTGAGTTTTAAATTCATAAGGTGAACCTCCATAACTCGAAAATCCCTGTGTCGAATTTTTTTTCAAGTCCATGTTTGATTTTGTTTTTACAAATTATACAGTGAAAACTCTAATCTGTACTGTAACTGGAAGGCTTTTCCTCTCAAACCTCTCCATCTTGAATTTTCCGAAGCCTTGTGGCTATTATTTTCTTGACCCAGGGAAGAGAAAAGCCATGGGAAAAATAATTCCATGTGTTTCCAAAGGAATTGACAGACTAATTGGGCAATCCCTTGCCTCAAAGTTCAGCATCCCCGCAACTCTTTTAAAAGCAGTTTGAGGCCCATAAATTCACAATTTACAATTTCCTGAAATTCGTCTATGTTATCCACAATAAAAATTCTTGTTTTTCTGACTCAAAGCCTCCAAATTTGAATGCCTGTACAGTCAACCCCCATCTAACGGACTTGATTCATGCAAGGGACGAGTCTGTTAGACAAAAAGTCCTTCACACAAATTCAATTACATAAAAATTGAAAATTTCAATTTTCAACACTAATTTTAAACGATGGTTCTTTCAAAACGTCACCCAAAAGTCTCAAAAAAAATTTGCGCAAAGAAAACTAAAGCGCTTAATAGTTTTTTGAACCATCAGTAATTTTTCCAAGGTTGATTTGTATATTTATAATTTTTAATTGGTGTTTTATGGAAGAAATATTCTTCAGAATTCCATGAAAAAATTTTTGCTGCTTGAATTTAATTCATTGAATATATTTTCAACTTAGTAATAAAATTTGGAGCATTGAATAGTGTATCTCTGTACTGTACATTGAAATGTTGTCGTCTATAAAAATAACATTCAAGTCACAACGAGAGAAGGAAGTCCCTCTACGCAAAAGGTAATTTTTTAATTAGCTGAATGGATGGAAAAATTATAAGAGAAATCACAAATCATTTTTCTTGCATAGATATCAGGGTTGGAAATATCTGTTTCTTGCAATCAAGCCAAATAAAAGTCAATTTTTGTGAAATTTATTGGAAATTTTATCATGCAATGTCCTCATGTCAAGTAAGTATCCGTATGGTGGGCCTTTTTATGCTCTTTTTATTGAAAAATAAATGTCCCTATGTTGAATTTTCCTCATGTCAAGGTGTCCACATGTGGGGGTCTCACTGTATAACATTTTTATTCAGCTGCTCATCCGACTCCACGCTTACAATTTTGACCGTTGAAGACAAACCCATAAAATTAATTTTCATGTGAAAGGAATTTGAACACATGAAATGTCGTTGAAAATTATTCATTTAGTTGCCAATAGACCAGAACAATATTCTTGAAACCCCCTGATTTACTGTAGCTAAATTCATGAGAATGGGGCGATTCTTGAGCGTTGTTGCAACAAAGAATAAATTCTTCACACTTTCCACTGATTTTGACTTTTCGCCTTTTTTGGAAGCACCGTCGCTCTTAATTTGAATAAAATAAATTTTTCGTTCATAAATAAAGTATATTTGATTTGAAGATGGCCCGTGACCTGTTTAAAAATATATGCTGCAGCAATTTCTTATTGTACACCATGTGGGACTTTTTATTTTGCAATTTTCAAAAATGCATTTACAGTATTTGAGAGGAAATTAAAATAACCGAAGAAGAAAAACGGGAATTTTGTTTAGGATGTCGATTGCTTGGCGTTGCAGCATTTTCCTTTGTGATTTGGTGAGATACTTTTCCGAATTGTCCCGATATATTCATGGTTTCTTCCGGGTGCTCTTCTAAGAATTGTCATCAGCGGAAGAGGGATAATTTAGAAATGTAGACGCCTCGTATTTGTAGTTCGAGAGATGTTCAACTGCAAGCTTTTTAGATATTCAGAGTTTATGGGGTAATTTTTTTTTAGATACGGTGGAAGGAAAACACTGTAGTTTTCGAAAATACTAAGAGAAGGAAAATCTGGTTGAAATATATGGATAATGTTGAGGTGCTTGTTTTTCCCTTCCTGAGGAAGTGACAGTGTGACTAATGATTATGTGAGTTGTGCAGCCAGTTATGCCATGTTTTTCTATCTCGATTGAGACACACCTGTACCTTGTTTGTGACACGAATGTGAGCAGGGTATTTCGTGAGGTTTTTATTCCGATTGAATAGTAAGGGTTTAAGTAGAGATGAACTCGGAAGGAAAATCAGAACCAAGTCAGCTCTCGAAGAAAATACAGCAAGGCACGAGGAAACTAAACTTGTACAACTTCGAAAAAAAAAACGCGGATATCTTTCTTTGAAAATCGAAACCTTTGTTGTGAAAAGGTTGCCTTCTGATCCAAGCTAATAGGTGATGAAGATTCCTTAATTTGAGTACGGTATTGATTGCTGGCTAAACCCTCATGATAATGATGAAAATGAGAATCGTCCGAAGACTGCGCATACTTTCATATTTTTAATTAATTACAATTTTTAAAAATCACATTAATTTGCCTCTGGAAGTTGTATGCTTAAAATATTTTTTTTCTGTTTTTCAAATACTTTTTCAGTGCACTGCATAATGAGAAGAGAAAACTTTCCAATTATGGCCAAAGTTTTGCAATCGTTTCCAAGTGTGATGAAAAATGTATCAGAACAGTTATCAATGTAACATTTTGTTGTGTTGCATGTTGTATTTTCAACATCTAATGAAAATTTCAAAAATTTGGACCGAAAATAGTTCTGTTTTAATTTCCTACATTTTTCTTAGAAAGGTTTAACCAGATCAATGTTTCCTGTCTGTCATATTTTTTTTTCATCAGACCGAGGTCAAATGTAACCTTTTCGGTCTTTTTACTTCTGTTTGTATGCATTTACTGTATGTATGTATGCATGTATGTATGCGTGTGTGAATAGGCCGCATTGACATAAAAAATAAAGCGGTCTGTGTTCGAACGAATTTCTCGGATAGTTCCTCCGACTCGTGCAAGGAAGGTGAAATGGAAAAATCTGCTTTTGAAAATTGCCGAGAAAAAATCAGGCAGTGATTATTTTTTTTCCCCAACCGCCTGTCTTTCATCGTGTCAAAGACGAGGTCATCTTCCTGAGCGTATGAACTTGATGATGAAGAGAATGCAAGCCTGAATTAATTCATGTCTACATTCGTGCGTACAGCCCGCATTTTCTTTTTCGAAATTTCAAATAAATCGCGGCCTATTTTCCTGAAGTATATTCTCAATAAGGGGGTGTGCGTTCTGTAATCGCGCAAATATTTTATGCCACGCAAATCTTCTGCGAAGATGAGAGGAATAATGTACCAGAAAAAGTGATACGAAAAAAACTATTTTATATATTACAGAGATTCCCAACGTATTGAAAGATTATTTAGATGTAATTAAGCATTCAAGGTGAAATTTGGAACTTTGAAAATTGTTGTGGCCCGCAAAGACGCTCCACCTCTCCACATCTGAGTTGGGCAGCACTGCTTGACTGGTGTAAATACGCTTCTTTAAACTCATTCGGCCTTCCTCCGTAAAGTCTCCTGATGCTTTCGTTTGAAGCTGGTTGTCCGTGTTGATCTCTCCGGAGGCATTCCGAGATGAAAGTTTGGTAACGTGTGTGTTACTTTGCGTTTGCCAGGTTGAAGAGCGACTCGGGGACAAGTTCGATAACCTGAACGAGAAGATCGAGAACATGAAAGGGATCCGGATGTTCCAAGAACGACTGGAGAAGAAGGGCCAGGCTGGGTTCAGTCGCAGTTTCGACGAGGGTGACGATGCCCTGAGTGGAGCTTCTTCATCAGCCGCGAGTGCTGCTGCTGGAACCCCGTCACCTGCTTTGGTAAAGAATTCAGTTTCTTTTTCTTTTGTAGCATGAACCAGGATTTTTCACGATGTTCTTGTTGTGGTGTGATTATTCCGTGTGAATAATGTGTTCGGAAGTATGATCGGACATATCATCAGAGGCACTGCGTTAATCGGGTGACTTCGAATAAGTTTTAGAACGTTAGTTGAATACCTTACTGAAGGTTTTTGAAAATAAATAGAAAATAATTAATTTTCTGTCGATTTCGAAAACAGTTGAACCTTTTCAAATTGAACTTCTAGGGACCACCAAAAAAATTGGAGCTACCTAGGGGGGGGGGGAAGAAAGAATACAGTAAATTCTTGTTACATCAAATGCCATTACAAAAATTTTTCAGTATAACAAACTTTTTTCGAGTCCCGGCAGAAATCCTACAAGGGGCATGTTATGAAAATCTCATTACAACATACTGGCCAATTCCAGTATAGCAAACTTTTTTGAGGAACATGGTATGGTTATTTCACTGAAGGTTTTTGAAAATAAATAGAAAATAATTAATTTGCTGTCGATTTCGAATGCAGTTGAACCTCTTCAAATTGAACTTCTAGGGACCACTAAAAAATTGGAGCTACCTTTTTTTGGGGGGGGGGGGGAAGAAAGAATACAGTAAATTCTTGTTACATCAAATACCATTAAAACAAAATTTTCAGTATAACAAACTTTTTTCAAGTCCAAAAAACTTTTTCTGAAGTCCCCACACCTTTGTTGTAACAAGATTTTATTTTAATTTGTGGACAGAGTTAAATTGCAGACCAAAATTCCTTTAAAAAATAAGGTTTTCATAAGGTGGAATATTTTCATTGTTAGTGAGACTTGAATCCGGAAAATTCGCATTTTCCAGACGGCATGAGTTTCTTTCTGCGAAAAGAAAAATGATCCATTATGCGAGGTGTCCATTATCCGGGTTTCACTCGTTTTTTTCACTGCGGGATGAAAAACGAAATAGAAACGCGGTGGTTTCACTTTCACCACAGACCCAGTGGTACAGTACAGTACAGTATTTTCTTCGTGATACTTCCGATGTTTTAAATTTGATGACGGCTTCCGTTTAATATTCATTGACCCGTCGAACTCACGTGGAGGACTGGTTCTTTCTTGAGAAATGAGAATCCAAGCAATGATATTCATTTTCGTTTACGAAAGAGGTTCAAGAACTAGACGGTACATTTGTCACTTGGAAAAAGTGGACTAGACGCCCGTTTTTCTCTCTCTTCTTTGTCAGCGACATTATCGGCGTATTCGAAAGATTTAAGGAAGAAAATGGGGCTGAATATTTTATTGGAAATCGCGAAACACCTGCGGAAAATTCAATCAGGAGAATTTTTACATTTTTGTGGTCAATACAGTATGAAAGAATGTTGGCACGATTGTCGGAGTTATCGGTATGCCGCTCCTGGCCACTCAACGGCTGAGTGACGCGTTTTATGGATTTAAAAAATAATTAAAATTCGGGTTGAATCAGACGGTTTTGCGAACAACTTGTAGAGCATGAAAACAGTAAGTGTATCTTGCTCAGAAAAGCTTCCATTTTGACCAACGAAACTGCAGCGTTTCATGAACGCAAAAACTATCATTTTTTGCGGAGGTTTCGTTTTCTGGTCAAATATTGTACTTTTGATATCTTATGCTTTTCTGAAAAAGCGCCTTCTCGGAATTCTTCCAACTCAATGCCATAATATGAAAAGAAGCCACTTTTTCAGTAAACATGCTTCAACTGAAGTCAATTCGATTAAATACTTTTTGTCAAGATTCAATTTTGTATTGAAATAATTCCGAATAAAATTCTCCGAGTCGTAAGCATCGGCGTTCATGGAAGACAATATTGTACTGTACTGTACTGAAGAATATTCTGGACGTGAGGAATGATGAAACCGAGGAGAGGGTCTTGATGAGTTCCAGAGAATTCCTCCCCTTATTTTTTTCCTTCTCTTCTACCCCCCCCCCCCCCTTTTTTTATGCACAGTATTGACAATAAAGCGCAGTTGTATTGCTGCGTGTCACCGTGAGGGGCATATCATGAAAGTTATTACGTCATAGTTCGAATTTTTCCATGAGCAATTTCGTTTTCCCTGGCGATATTGCGTTCATTGTTATGTGAATTCTTCTGCTCAATTCCGGAGCTGATGCTGACGCTTGGGGTGTTTTATAGAGCTTTTTTGAAGGTAATTGTGGACTTCTGAGGTTCGTGTGCAAACTTGTGAAGTGGATCAAACCGTATGGTCAGAAAAAGTTTTAAATTCTAATGACTCGTATATTTGTGGCTTGCATTTTTCGTTTTACAGTGAGTGTGGGAGAGAATTTTTTTTTATGGTAGTGATGAGAGAAAATTAAGCTGGAATTGTGCTGAACATGAATCGAGTTTATATTCACTCACTTGCCAAAGCAAAATGCCCGAGATTAAGGATATTGATTTAAAGGGGGTTTTATCCGGGGGATTCAAGACAGAACAACGGCTGTCTGGATTTTTTTCGCGCAGTCGAATTTTTCGCGTTTTTCTCAAGAAATTTATCGTGAAATTAGACTGTAATTAAGTACTGATGCTAAATCAAATTATTCGGTAGGATTATCGGGGCCATTTGCTGTCGTCACACCAATTTCATGACTTTTGTAAGATACATAAGGTAGACAACTTTAAAACCCTATTTTGTATTCCTGATGAACATTTTTAATTTCGTAGAAGCTCTCAGGAGTGCCTAAAAATGGACCAAAATTTTTTCCTGTGACATTCCCGAAATTATTGGTGATTTTTGCCAATGATATCGAAAATTCAAGAAGTGTCCTGCGAAGATCTAAAAAATGCAAAAGTTCCTGAATTTATTTGGAATAGCTTGAATTTTCGGATCAATGGAACTTGGGTGCTCTGAAATCGGCGGAAGAAATTTCAGGAAAGAGTATAGATTTTGAATAAATTTTTTCAACGACAGGTGGTGAATTTTTATTTTTTCAATTTCGTCCGGAAATCGGGACAACCGTCGTACGACTGGCCATTTCAATTTTTTAATTATTATTTTTTGCCATCGAACTACCAATTTCAATCGAAGGGATACGTTATTCATTTCCGATACTGGTTTCATGAAGAAAAAAAATATCCAATACAGGTGTGTGAAAATTTGATTCAGTGGCACGTGTGGGATTTCTGCACTTGAAATTGTGCTCTGGTCCGATTGAATTGCCCCGCAAAAGGAGCTGCACCGGAAGTCCGACTCGAAAATAGTTCCGGATGAGAAACCTTGGACGAAAAGGGCTTACACTGTAGCTTGACTTTTTTCTTCTCTACCCAAGAGATTTAAAAGAGGAATGTCGTTTTTTCTGTATACCCCGCCGCCGTCTCCCCAAAATCTGTGCTACAGAAAGCAGGTGCGGCCAAAGATTTCCACGTGTAGGCAAAACAGAAAGCTCTTATTTGAGATTTTGTCGAAAATGTTCGCTGTCCTTAATTTAATGGAGGTATAGTAACTCGAAGAGTTGTATTTTTTTAACGATTAAAATGCTGAAAGAATAATAATTATTCACTTGGCAAGCAGGCGACCGTAACTCTGAGGCAAGATAATGAATTGCCTCGGTTTTTTTGTCTTTGTTTTTGCTGCCTGAGGGAGCAACAAACGTTTGAGTTCAGAAAGAAAGAAAGCATTTTTATTGAGGAAAACGAGAACCGCAAGAAATTTTAATTGGTGATATCCTGGGCCTCAAATTATTTATCGAATGAGTGCACATGATGCTGAACTTGGAGGCGAGAGTTGATTTGCTCAATTAGTCTTTCCCTTATTTTCAAAACACGTCAAGTTACATTCTCATTGCTTTTATCTTTACCGTGTCAATAAAACAATCGCCGAAAGGCCTCCAAAAAGTTCGATTTACGGCGATTTGAGGCGGAAAGTTTTTGAGTCGAGGTTTTCGATGTATTGTTTATAAGGGAATTCAGAGAGGGACTTGACAAAAATTCGAAATAGGGAGGTATTTGGTTCGAGTTATTGAGGTTCGACTGTGTTAACTGTATCGTCAGAAAGTTCCCCATACAGGTACTAACGAGGGTCCCTGTTTCAAATTGTTTAATCTTTTTTCTTATTCTTTTCCAAACAGAGTGTACCGAGTTCCCCGTTGGCCCCGGAAACACTGACGCAGGGCGGAGAAACCGGAATCAGTTCCGAACTCAGTTCTTCCTTGTCCCGCACACCGCCGCAAAATTCGTCTGGTTTAGCTTCGCCTTCCTCTGGCCGGTTCACGTTTCCCGGATCCTTGAACGACTTGCGTCATCGACGCAAACGCGACAAGGAAGCCGCGTCGTCGTTGACGACAACGACGACGGGATCGTCGACGTCGATTGCGTATTCGTCCCTGCTTCGCGAAGACACGGACGGGGAACGAGAGCACGACGTGGCGGTGTCGACGCATTTGAGTGTCGGACGGTGTCCGAGTTTGCAGACGGACTCGACGACGGCGCGGAGTTTGTACGGGCCTCCTTCTCAAGTGTCGCCGTCGGGGTCGCCTCTTGCCGCCGCTGGACCGAGGCGAGCAGCTTTTTTTTTTACCTGTTACAGTATTTATTTATTTTCATTATGTTCGTGTGGATAGGCGTCAAGGGTGTCTTAATTAACATATGTAGTCCGATTTTTTCTTTAAAACCTTCCGATGCAATGTAGTGGCGCTTTTGTTCCCGTGAGTCGTCCATAATTCGAGATGTCTTGTAGCTAAACCTTGTAAATCAATGGTGCTCATTATTTTAAAATTATTTTGGGCTTGACGAACATTCCAGGCCCCCAGTCTGCTAATAAATTCATGGGAACAGAAATGAATTCGCTGCGAAGATAATTTCCTTTTGAAGAACTCCAGCGGGATGGGTAGGACATTTTTAGGGGACCAACAAAATTTGTTATACAGTACAGTAAAATCTCGTTTCGAAGAAGCTGTTGGGACGGGGAAATAGCTTCGTTATAACGATACATTCATTTTAAAGTGATTTGAATAATATTGTTGCTATTGGGTGAGGACCTGAAAAACGAATATCTTGTAACCAGTAACGTAACCGACGATATTCGTTTTTATGAGATTGCTTTGTACCGAAAACATTTTTGTAGACTCTGTTTGAATTACAGTATGTAGCTGAATGAGACGGCAAATTCGTCCCAGATTCCATGGAAATCTTTCCAGAAAGTTCTTGAATAAAGTGTTACATAAATCGGTGCCCAGAATAAAATCTGATGAAACTAGGGAACAACGCTCGATGCGATGGAAAAAAAGATGAGTAATTTTAGCTGTTGTACGCTTTGAACATTATTTTGGTAGCATCAAATGAAGCATTCGTTAGTTTCTTTGTTCCCTCTCAGAAAAATATTAATTCGGATGAGAATGTACTTCTTTTTTAGAAAGAGTGATCATGTTTTAATTTACTTTTTCTTGTCTGAAACACAGGAAACGTCCGGATACTTTGGAGATGCCGCGCAAAGAAGCCGGCGGCGAAATCAACCTCCGAGCGAAATCATCTCCGTCCATGTCGAGGAGCAGGAATGAGTCCGAGAACGAAGACAGCGTTTCCGTGCGGCCGAGAAGCACGGTTACCATCACAACTGCAGCCGTAGCAATGTGCATGATTGCCTGCTCTCTATACTTTGGATTCGCAGTCGTCTGGTTCTTGTGTGGGTTCCTGACGTGTTTGGCCCTGCGGGAGCTAGTGGTGCCGGCGGTTTTTGGGCCAGCCAAGATCCCGAAACCGTCCCCGTTGCCGGACTATTCCTCGATGCCGCCGCTGACGATTGAGTCGACTGAAGACAGGATTGAAATGGAGTCTGGGGTCTTTGAAGAGCGACCAATGCCGGTTTATCAGGTTCTGAATTTTTTTTCTACCGATTTTCGTTGTGAAAGAAATGAGAAGATGTATGCATTTAATAAGATGTCCACGGTCTTACTCGGAAGTACAGTTAACCCAACCCTTGCCTTCAATTTCAGCATCCTGTCAACTGATACAAAAAGCAATTCAAGGCCCAAAATATCACGAATTTCAATTTCTAGTAATTTTGTTTCCCACTCAATGAAAATGATTCTTTCCCTGACTGGAAACCTCCCTAATTCGAATTTATTTGCTAGTCCCTTGAAGTTTGACGTGAAGAGGTTAGACTGTATTTGAACCCCTTTGTTTTTGCTCGAACATTTTCTTGTCCTGAATGACTCGCCCTTTATCTGCCTGGAGAAAGTAAAGATTTTATTCACTTTTCTTCAAATTTTGACGCGTCTGAAAAGCTGAAACTCGTTGTTTGAATGTACGCTACAGTAGTCGTTTTTAATGCGAGGCTGTGTTGCTTTTCATGCGCGACAGGGTTGGATGTTTGAATACCCGAAAGACTCGTGGGATCCTACGACGAATCGCATGAAGAACCTGTTGCCGATTTACGTTCGACTCGAAGGTTCCAAACTCGTTCTGACTGGAACCAGGTCAAAAATTCCCATGCGTATCATGTGGAACGAAACCGCGCTTGATCCAGTATTTACGTCCCGTCGGGAGTTTGACATTGCGGGATGTCCAGTTTACCTTCTTCCTTTCACTCTTTCAAGAACCAGGTGAGATTACGTACCTCAACATGAGCTTTCTTGCTGCGGTTCTTGTAAATATGACTTGGAAAATAGGTGGTGAATACGATGGTTGTCCCAGTTGGACGCGACCTCGAATATTTTTAGAGTAGGTGTGATTGTTGAGAGAAAAAAAAAGTCGTGGCATAGCCCTTGATGTTCTAAGGTTCTGGGATTTTTCTCGGATTTTTATAAAAGTCTTGAAAACACTGCATGATGATTATTAGAAGGTTTCCAGTCACAGCCGTAGTTCTCCACCCGTGTCACAGGGTGCTAAAAATTTGTCGGGCTAGCTAAACGACTGAATTTTCTTTTTAGCTTTTAAGCTTTAAACCATTATCCAATGGGTAAAGCAAAATTGTTTTATTTTAGCTAGACTGACAACTTTTTTGCACTGAATTTTTATTTGATGCCTGACTAACCTCCTTAAATCACCTAATTTACTTTGAAATGTTAAATTTTTCTGGCTGCGGATTCAAGTTTCATATTTCTATTCAATTCCTAGGCTGTGGAACCGGAAATATCCGATTGTGATAGATTTGCGTCAACCGGAACAGGACACTCCAGAGACTCGTGAAAACAACAACAAAGGCTGTGACCAGCAACCGAAACCTGTAAGTCGCAACCCAGTTTCATGCAAGAAGGGCACGTTTTTTAAATATTGTACATTTATAAAGCTTGGCTCTTTTTTTCAAATTTTTGCCGAATGTGATGGTTCAGAATTCAGGATTGTCCTGTTATTTTACTGCTTGAAGCGGTGGGGATTTTTTTTTCCTTTCACGCGTGAGTTTCTTTACCAGTAGATAGATGTCGTCTGAATTCTCAGATAGTCTTGTCAGGTTTACCTCGGACGTAGGGTTTGTTGAGGGTTTTCCCGTGAAATTATTGATCCGGGCGACACCTTTCTTACTTTCTAGAAATCAGTTTTGAGGTCGAATAACGTTAAAATCAAGTTTGGAAACTTTTATTTTAAGATTTATTTTTCGGGCGATGATTAAAACAAATTTATTAATATTGCCGAAAGACCCATGTTCTCTTTTTTTTTGTGCATAATTTTTGCTTCTTTTGTGTTTCGTTCTGTGGAGGAACCGGAGAAGAACGAAAAACCTGCTGTCGACGACCCAAAGGAAGAGAAAAGCACGTCGAAGCGTTTGAAAGGTGGTGGATCGACCAACAGTAAGAAACGTCGCGTTGTCGGAGTTTTGCATCGAATGGCCAACAAACCGAATCCATATGCAGAATCGGAAGCATCGGATATAGGCTCCCCGGATTGCGACCAGTCGCCGAATTTTGAATTGATCGACGCTGGAATGTGTTCTCAAGAACGGCTGTATATCTTTGCCAGAGCCGATCGGGAGAAGGAAGATTGGTGAGAGATTCTCTCGAGGTTTCACAATATTGAATGGGGCTTTGAGCAACGAACCTAATCCGTTTCCGGGGGACTGGTTCATTGCACAAAGCGTTGATTGTCCAAGACATGATTTTCCCACGGTAGCCTAGAGAAAATCATGTAATTGGTTCCGATGGCACGATTAAATCAAGGAAAGGTGAAAAAGATGGAAATTCTGGATCGTACAGTAAAAAATTATTTTTGATACCGATTCTATCGTAGATTGAAAATTATTTGCAGCAACAAAATTCGCTGCAGTAATTTGACTTCTAAAAATTTCATCGAAGTTTGACTTTCTCTTCGACTTTCAAATGATTTTTCATTTTCATTCCCATTGGGATCACGCTTGGGAAGAATTTAATTAAAAATAAAATTTTATAAAATTGTACCTTTTTCCTCAATTTTTTTGGGATTTAAACAATTATTTTTCTTTTGACTTGAGGTTTTTCCTCAAGTCGAATTCATTTCTTTCTACTCAATGGTGGTCGAACCAGGGTTCGTTATGGAAGTCGTTGGCGTTCGTTGTTCACGGACCCACTGCAGTATTGAGATATAGATACTCTTTCATTCATGGAATAGCTAAAAACTGAGGATTCGGGCAGTCAAAGAATTTCGGTTCTCCGGAATGAATACGCTGAAGCAGCATTTGTCTGCCTGTGTTTTTGGCACGTGTGCGAAAACGAGAAAAGGCTTATGGATTTTCGCGCCGACTCTAGGGGAAGCAAAAAGTTCCCTAGCGATAGAAAGAATTTTCTCATAACGCATGCAGAAATGCGGCGCAATTGATGTTGAATTCGTCAAAGAAGATTTATATGCAATTTACAGAATTTAATTTGAATGAAGCTATGCGAGGATACGGGTAGACTCTCTCCACAACGATCTTGTCTGCAAAATTTTCTCTGTATAACGCTTTTTTTCCCCATAGGGTTCTCTCCCGATGTTATACGGCAGTGTTCCCCAACCTGAGGAAGTTTCTCCAGGCTAATGAATTCTTCACAAGTAGCAATAAAGGACATTACAGTATCTTTATTTTCAATTTTGGCAAGACAATGGCAGTTAAAATGATCTGAATAAAGATTGATCTTGGCTTTTCTCCTAATAATACTTCAGACAAATTTTAACCTGATTTAATGGGTTTTTTCTTTGGAGTCTGAAAAACCTTTCTTCGAGCCCACCTTTCCATTTTTTGAAGGCATTCCACTATAGCTGCTCCATCGGTTCCTGAACTAATTTTACAAAAAAAAAAGCAGAAGCTTTTCAAATATCTGCCATTCGAACTGTCTTTCAAGCAAAACTTTTTTGAGCATGAAAAAATTTAATGATAATTTGCTGGTCATCAGAAAATTGCATGAAACTTTGCCAGTCCGCAGAATTTTTGTTTTGGAAATTTGCCGGTCCGCGGGACCAAAAAGGTCGGGGAACACTGTTATACCGGGTTCTCCACAACAATTTTTTTTCCTCTGGCCCTCTGAATTTTGTTTTATAGCTATTCCACTTGTAGAGCTATTCTTACAATTCATCCTTTTCTCATTAAAAGGAGAGATCTTCATTGAAACGCTTTTTAACCAGACTTCTTGATTTGATTTTAGGTTCAGACGATTGTCGGCCGCCTCCAAAGGACTGGATTTGAACGGGGCAGTGCCGTCACACTCCTCGACCCCTCTGAACAAAAGCAACGAGGAGAACTGGTCTCAGAGAGCTTTAGATGTTTGGATCGACACCTTGTCATCCTACTATTCCCCTTCCGTTCGGCAAAGTAGAAAGATGATCGATTTTGAAGACTATATGCGAAACATATTTCGCAGCCAAGTGGTGAGTGCGATTTTTCATCCGATCTTCGTCCCACCTTTTTTAATCGCAAAGTACGAAATATTTCTTTTCTGACGATTGGCCTGTTGAAAGAAAAGAAAAATTTCTAACTTACCTCCTCCATTTGCACGTTAGTTTGCACGTACTGTTTGAGTGACGTTTGTTGGTGCGGTGGTTCATTTATTTCCGTGGTGGTGGTTGGGGTAAAGTTGGATGACCGCGTGCGAATCAACCTCGGCGTTTACAAGGGACCTCGGATCCTGCGTGTGAGGTTTAAGAAATCGCGCGGGATGGGGAAAAGCTGTGCGAACGCGGTGAGCCAAAAACTTCATACGGTCTATTGCTTGATGTTCAGATTAGGCGACATTTTCTGTTTACGCCCCCTCCTTCCTTGTGTATGTATGTATGTATGTATGTACAGTGCAGTATACAGTATATGTGATTGTGTAATTTTTTTTTAGCTTGGTTGCAAAAAAAAATTAGTTCATCATGTGGGTTTTTTTTTTGGTGGCTTCAACGACATACCTTGATTGCTGGAATATTAGACAGGTGTCGCCTCAATCGCGTGTGCGACAAAGAGATGAACATTGGGGCCCCAACATACGGACAGTTTGACTATGGGGCTCACAAAACTCTTAAAATATGCCCCGACATGGACGCTTTGCCAACCTTTTTAGAAAAACGAAAAATTTTGAAATCCAACAAATCAGGCTTCTGTATTCATGTAAAAAATTTTAAAAAATTCCATTTTAAAATTACTCTTATTGATAATCCAAAACAGGCGAATTTTGTGCTTCCTTTTTTTTCTAGAGTTTTTCTTTTTTCATCATCTTTGCACAGTGTAGCCAAGACTTGAGCTTGTTCTTTGATTTTTGGGCTTGTTTTTGTGCCAAAAAATCGATTCTGCGTGGACATCTTCTGCAATTATTTTCTAAATCTTCGTCAGAAATCTCGAGGAAAAAAAAATTTTCTCCAGAAAGAATGGGAAAACGTGATTGAAAATGCGAACGTTTAAGATTTACCGGCGAGTTTCAATTGTGTCCGCATCTCGGGGCCCCCATCACTAACATATTTTTCAGCGGCAAAACTGATTTCTTGGACGAATATTAACCTACTGTATTGTCATCCAAGCTAACCTGACGTTTACCTTTTTCCAAGGTATTCCTGCTCAAACTTGACAAAATGTTAAATTCAGGCGACACATGTGTGTGTGCAAATGAATGACGGATTGAGGGAAATCCGGTTTTGAGTCACAAATGCTCTTCTTGAAAAGCTGACTGGATGAAGAGATTAAATCTTTTCGCGAAGCGAAGTAAAGGGTCTCTAGTAATAATTACGGCATAACTGACCTTCCCGCAATTAACTTCATTTTATCTGAAAAAAAAAAAACCTGCGGCCTTAGCCGGACGTGAAATATTCATCATTCGCGATTTTAAAGTCGCCAAATTCTGCTGAGCTGGTTTATGACGTACACTCGTAGAGTATTTTTCTTTTATTTTTGAAATTTTTATTTGAGAGCTGAACTTCGGCGCACGCGATTATCGGGAGTTTTCTCTCTCCTCTCTCTCTCCCGTCCTTATTTTCGCAAAATTTTAATACTGTACCTGTTTGCTTGACGATGTGTATTTTGAACAGAAGTTCAGGGAGATTGCGATCAACTTCCGGATGCCTAAAGTTTTCTCGAAGCTGAACGTGACTCAGTTGCTGATTACGCTCCAACTACAGTACTTGAAATTCAGCGCAGCGCATTCATTTATGATTTGTTTATAGTGATTAATCGGTTTTCTGTGGAAGGGATTGCATCCCAGAAAATTACTGTAAGGTTCAGTTATATTTTTATTAGTATTCCCCCCCCCCCCCCTTATCTAGGTAAATTTTTACGCTACTGTAATTTCCTTCCGTTGTTCGTCTTTAGAGAACCCAGCCTTTTCTAAGAAAAGACGAATTTGCTGAAAAAAGACGAAAATGTATTGAACGTAGGGCATGACCAACCATTGTTTTTATTGTGAAAAATGGTGAATTGAGTCGCGAGCAATTATTCTTGAATGAGGATCCCAAAACAATTTGAGCAATTGAAATCTGTCTCAAAATGCATGCTTACATTAGGCATAGAGTTGTGTAGGTATTTAAGTTGGGTTATTTAGGCAGAGTTGGATAAATTTCCGTCCGCAAATCCTGCTTTTAAATTTGTGGTTAGTTGGAAGAGTTGGAAATTACTGTGGGTGGAAGGTTTATTCACGTTACACAGAAAATGAATATCTGTATACAGTATGAAATGGTTGGAAAAATCGCCTCCGTTTGATTTTGGTCGCATTACAGTTGAATAAAAAATATTGAAAAAATTCGCGAAGAAACGTCTTGTGCCGTACCAATAAAAAGTTTTGAGAATGGCCATGCTGTGTGAGCGGAAGTTCAGAACTCTCCAGCACATTTCAATTTCCCAAAATTATAATTTCGACTAGGATAAAATTACTCTATTAGAATACTTGTAAATTCGTGCTTCGTGTTATTTCTTTTCGTTGCTGTGGTCGTCCTTTTTGGGTTGGTTTCGTAGTCCATGTGGTGTCTTCCGTGGTTTACGTAACCCTTCCTTACATATTTGTTTTCCGGATTGTAGAGGTCGATATTCTAGGGGTTACAATTATATAATTTGATCGGTTCTTTACTTATGGACTTTCATAATTATTGATTACGAAAAAAAAAAAAAAACTTCTAAAATCCAGTTGAGAACGTCGGAAACCATGTGTATGTCCATGTTCGAACTTAAACATCGATGGATCTAAATTGGAATTCGAAAACCTTCGCGTTACAAATGCTGCTCTGAACTCAAATGAGCGAAAGTCAAACCCCGTCAAGACGCCCCCGATAAGCCGCCACCCTCAGCAGCCGCCATTTTTTCGAAGAAGAAAAAATCGAATGTGATTATAAAAGCATTGGAAACCCCATTAAAAACGCCATCCGCCAAAATTATTGACCACTCTGATATAATCCTGCCAATACATTTTGTCTTCGATAGCCCGCCAACAAAATTCAAATTTCTGCGAGAGAGGTTTCCAATTTTAATAGAAAAAAAGACGAACAGAAAGATGACGTGATTTACTTCTGGGGGACATTAGCTGATGTAATTTGTGCATTCCAGGGTTATTTTGATTGTTTTCTAAAATAATGAGAATATAATTTCCTATTAAACTTAATTTTTATATTGTTTTAGTTTTTATTGATAAATGATCAATGTCTAACTGCAACAAACCTCACGAACAAATGATGGCAGCTTATCGAGGCTTAATTAATGCAGTAAAATTTCGTTACAACGAACTCCCAGGGACCTAATTACAAATTCGTTACAACTAAAAATTCGTTGTATTGAGATTCATGGTTTTTACCAAATTTAGATTTAATTCCCAAGAAATGTTTCATTTTGTGTTTTTTTTCAACACTATCGTTTCTCTACAAAATTTTTTTTTTCTTGGAAGAAGATGGAATCTTGCTCCATTTAAAGTTTTCCAATTTCAGCCATGTATTGAATAATCCCTGCGGCCTATGCATGAAATCAGGGCCACAACTTCGTTTTAATGTACTTTACTGAGATTAAAGCCTAAAAATTAATTTGTTAAAATGATATTTTTATGAAATTGCGCCTGTTGAAAAACTGCCAGGACCCAAGAAAAAATTCGGTAAAACGAGATTCGTTGTAACGGAATTTCACTGTACAACAAAGACAACAACAACAACAAAAAACGCGTCGTTTCCCCGAAAACGTAGCCCGCAGAGGAGGACCCGGTTTGTGTGAACGTAGTGGCCAAGGGTCAAAACAGCTCCGGCAAATCCCCGGGCCAAGACGAAGAATCTGTTCCGAACGGCACTGGAGGGAAGACCATTCAGAACATCAAGCGGAAGGCCTTTCACAAGCTCGAGACTGCTAAGACGAAAACGCTTGACAAGCTCGATGGGCTCATCTCGCGCCGTCCGCAGGGCATCGACCTAGAGGTACCTTTCTTGTTTGGGAAAGGGTACGATTTAAAAAAGAAAAAAAACAAATTTGAATTTAAGGAAAAACAACAACAAGCGAACGAACGAAGGAAGGAAGGAATAAAATAGGAAAAGAAAGGATTGGGTAAGTTGGGTCGAGTTGCGCTTGACGAAACAATTTTAAAGCTGGTCATTCACGAATATAAAGGGGTTTCCGAAGGGTTTCAAACGCGTCCTGTTGCCCCTTGACCAATCTGAACTTTGTAGGTTTTTTTTTTTTTTGTCGAGCATAGGCATATGTTGCGAAGGTTGTCGCAATTTGGTGAGACCTCTCTCTTTTTTTTCGAGTAGATGTGATTGCTAAAAGAAATCCTGATTGCGTAAAGCCCGTAATGTGCTAAGGTTCTGGGGATGTTTTTTTTTTAATTTGTAAAAAAGTTTTATACCAGTTTACTGCACGATGATAAATAAAAACTTTCCTTTTGAAGCCAGAGTTATCCAACCATGTCGCAGAGATCTACAATTTGTCAGGCCAGCTAAAAAAAATTGAAATTTTATCGCCGCGACCTCCGATATTAAAAAAAAAAACATGATGTTCTAAGGTTCTGGGATTTTTTTTAATGATTTTAATTTTTTAAGAAGAAAAAAAATTCAATTTACTGCATGATGATAAGTGAAAACTTCAGTTACCGCCAGAGTTATCCACCCATATCATAGTGGGATACACATTTGTCAGGCTAGCAATTTTTTAAACATCAATTAAAATATAGAAAATATAATAGTAAACAAAATTTTAAATTCTTCATTGGCCTGAACAACTTTTTTTTACCTGACCTGTGGCTCTGGCTGTGATTTAAAAGTTTCTACTGATCTTCATGCAGTGGATTGAGATAATTTGTTTTTGAAAATCCGAAAAAAAATACCAGAGCTTTAGAACATCTTGAGCTGTGTCATGATTCTTTTTACCATCACGCCTACTTTAAAAATATCAGAGGTCTCGTCCAACTGGGACAACCCTCATATTTCCGTGTTTTTTTTTTCAACTAAGGTGAAGTTTTCTCTTTGCCCACAAGAAAAGAGGAAAGATTGAGACCAATAAAAGTGTTATTTGTGTGTTTCTACTACCAGGACTTCTGAATGCGACTCCTTTTCTTGAAACTTATTGTCAACCGTCAATTTAGTGCCTGCCGATTTAATGCCCCTAAAAAAGCATATTTCATCGAATTTTTAGAGAAATTTTTCGATATTTTTTTGCCAAACATGAGAAGTGATTGAAAATTTTACAACTGAAGTCTTTGGGGAACTGTGATTGAACACGCGGAATTTCTAACGTATGAACACCAGTCTGAGAATGCGCGGAGTTTTGCTCTTGTATTGGTGATTTTTTTCGCAAATGATTCTCCCTTGCATTGAAATTCACCCAATTTTTTTCCTCTTCTGCAATGATTATTCTGTGCGGTTCGTTTTTTGGGTTTGCTCTATTTATGTTTTTACAATTCGCACGATTTTCAAGGTCACACTAACCATTCACTATGAGCATGTTTTCTTATCCATCCAGTCGTAAACCGTATATCACGTAGATTTTTAGCAGTGCTCGTCTCCTCTTGGACATTGTTTCCTATGAACTGTACTGTAGCAGTACTATTACGGGAGAAAAGAAAGAAGAAACACCTCGTGGGAGTTTTCGAGCTTAGACTATATTTTTCTCCGTTAGTTCAATAACGCGTATTGTGTTTTTTTTATTATGCTAGAATTGGAATCTAGCGCAGGAAGTGTACCGTATTTATTTGAGTACCACAAGCCCTTGAGGAAGAAATGCACCAAGAATTTTTTCAGTCTAAAAGTTTGAAATTTTATTTCCAAGTAAGACTTGCACCTCATTTTTTCCACCTTCAAACTTCGATTTTTTTTTCAGAAATAAGAACGCCCAAATTTTAATCTAGACATGAATTGAACTTGAATCCGAGCAATTTTCTTTTTTTTGCATTAGAGTAAGCTTTTTCTGTTCAAATTGTTCCAAAATTTCCCATCAGAATCAAGTACAGTTGAACTTTAAGTCAAACGTCAAGTGATGAGCAAAGCAAAATTCGAGTTAGGGAGGTTTCGAGTTGAGTAAGCAAGCAATTTTGTTGGTAGAACGAAAGGATAAGACATTTTATTATTTGATGTCAGCACAAGTGAACTTCTAAAATTTATCGAAAATTTTGTACACAGCTATGATACGCACCCCTATTTTTTTCCTCTCAATTTTGAAAAACAAAAAATGTGAGAATGCTACTGGAATAAATACGGCATTTTTCCTTGTCTCTCTGACCTAGTGCACTGATTGAAAAAAAAAAGTACGATTAGCAGCAGTTGACTGGAATGAGAAGTTCATCATTTCGTGTGTCCTTCGCAGATTACGGAGTTGGATGGAGAACAGGAGACTGGCGTGGATTCGGTTGGTGAAGATGTCACAGCGTTGGACGCTGACCTGAGGCCAGTGTCTCCGTTGGACACTTCTAGCGAAACGGCGGGTTTTGAAGCTTCGAAAGCGTCTCCGGAAGTCGTTGCTGCGACTCCAGACTCGACGGAGGGCCAGGATGCTGAAACAATCGCTGGTTCGATTTTTTCTTTTTTTTTTTTTTACAGTACGATTTTTTTTTTTTTAATATCTGCGAGGTACTGTCAAACCTCTTCTAAACCGCCAACGTCTGCGCTGAATGATTTTGGCGGTTTATCGGGGTGTTGAAGTTTCTAGATGTTTTGTGGAAAAAAATTTAGACAAAACAGACAGAGCACTTCTTGAGTTCCTTTGTTAGAAAATAATATTCAATAGGTTTTACCGTCTCAATTAAGACCAGCACCCCGACTTTTTGGTCAAACATTTGTCCAACAACCCATCCCTGGGTAAGACGAGCACCCCATTTTTTTGTTTGCCGGAAATAACAAATTTTGAAATCTCTTCTGCGGCAGCGAATAATTCTAGGCTAATTAATACAGTATGTACGAGGTTCTAATGCAAATTTTAAAAACTGGGTTTTTCAAAACTTCGAATATTCGAAGATTTTATTTTCGTTCGCCTGCATTTTTGACTGAAGACTAAAGAAAATGTTTTAATCTGTGCTGTTCTGTTTTTATTAAACCCTCATTCAATGCTCTAAATCATTTTCTTTTTGAAAACCAAAAAACAAAAATTAATTAAGCGTGAAAAATATCGAGGGTTTGAAGCTCTGTCCCAGAGTGATATCCTATTTTAGGATTTGTGACACTAGTTGGCTCAAGTGCGTTGAAATCTTTCTACTCCAAGTTGTATGAAGTTCCAAGTGAATCCGGGTTTCAACTTCTGTGCTTGAAGTTGTGTGATCGATCCAGAATCGTGTTCTATATATATATATATATTTTTTTTTTTTCGAATAGGATCGATGTTCCATACCCTACATCCGACGGAAGTTGCGTCTCATGTGCGGTGGTTGAACTGCCTGTTGTCGCGACTCATGTTCGACTTTCTGTGCGATCAGGATTTTGAAGACATGGTTCGGCACAAAATTTCATCCAAGCTCAAAAATATACGCGTACGTAATTCGTTTACCGAATATCAAAATATTATGAGTTTCTCGCGAATTGGATCATCATCTCTCTTTTATTGATGTTGCTTCCGATTTTGTTCTGATGAAGTTGGGCATTCGTGCAACATTTAACGTTGAAGTTTAAAGGAGGGAATTCGGCTGTTTTTCCCCCGATTTCTTAGAGTGTCGTGTTTTTTCGAATATAAAAACCTTATTTCTCAGGTATAGTCCTGAAAATAAAAACTCTTCGAAATTCAATGACGTAAAACCGAAAGCCTTGGTTGGTTCATCAATTGAATAGTTCAAATCATGATTTCTTGAGGAACTATTCGAGATCAGACTGTAAAACTGAAGCGCGAGTAAAATTGATGTTATCTTTTCAACTTCTCTCAAGAATTTTAATCCAATGAGACTCCCGACACTTCCTGCAAAAATAATGAAATCGTTTTTAGCGCACCAAAAAAAAAAATAAAATTCTTTGGATCGATGGCATCTTGTACTGAACTATTCTAGTAAATGCCGTAGTATGGTAATCTGTTGATTTTATTCTCATCAGGTGCCTGGAGTGGGGAAGATTGCATGTATTGATTTGGACCTGGGAAGCAGCTTGCCGATCATTCACCGGACGTCAGCGCCAGTCATGGACGAGCGCGGATTCTGGATTGACTTTGACATTTCTTATGGGGGCGGGTTCCGGATAGCCATAGAAGCCAATATAGACCTTAGGTGAGTTCTCCTGCTAACGATGCCAATTACGAGCTGATGATGAGATACATTACTTCTTGTAATGAGCGAAGAAGATGATGTGTCTTTGCCAACTTACCCCGATGACGCGAATACGAAGAGCAATTCTCCTACGTTTCGAAATCGTGAAAGATTTTTTTTTTCGCTGAATTGATGTTCACCCGTGGAATTGGGCGTTTAGTGAAATATATTTTCTTTAAAAGAATGCTCTATAGGTATCATAAGACACGTTGTTTCTCGTTATTTTTGACTGAAAAATACGCTTTAAAAATTATTTCTTTGTGGGGCCTCTTCTAGGTAAGCAAGGTTAATCTCGTCATCAAAAATGAGAACGATTAGCATGTGATCTTCATACCTTCATTGAATTTAGAAGACATGTACGAGTGCAATATTTTATTAATAGACTTCTGTCTTCGTTTTCGCCCGATGTTTTCGGACAGTACTTTCGTGGTTTGTATTGGTTTAAGCTTGTTCAAGGCTCGTGAAAGGCATTTTACGTACAGCACGCGTAAAACCAAATCGATAATCAGTTTTTTAGTTATCTTTTCAATGGCGCAGTGCTTCAATGGGACATTTACTGTAATTGAGTTTCAATCAGCGTTTTTTTTTATGAAGTGATTTTTAATGCAGTTCAATTACTTTTCATCTTTTTCAGGACGTTGGGGAACGATCAGGATCACCAAGACGAACAGCAGAATGCATCTGTGGCGAGTGATGACTCCCCTGGACCAACTCCAGAAACTGCATCTGTAAAAGGAAATTCCGATGACGAATACAGGTAATTTTACCTTTTATATTCTTCCCCGGTTCTTTAATATGTCAACACCAGTGCTATAAGTGTTTTACTTGCTCGATTCTTGTAAAAATCAAATATAGGTTGAATTCTTCGGTTTTTTGTTTTGTTTGTGAGGATGGTGATACAGGCGACATCTACTGAATGATCCTAGGAGCAAGCTGCCATAAGATGGTATCAATTGACTGGCTTTGTGAAGTTGATGTGTTTTTCTATAATTTATTTTTGCATTGAATTCTCCCTTTTCTTTTTGAGAGGGTCTGTAAGATTGATGTTGAAAATGTCGGTTTATTTGAGGAGCTCAGTCACGATGCTTTTTTTTCAGTTGAATTCGATTTTTGGTAATATTGGATTATTTTCACGTGCGATTATCATGGCGAAAATGAGCCGTCACTGTCTCGAAAAAATGGAAATTATTTTGTGATAACTGTCCGTCCATTTTGATGTGTAGTCCGTCGAGTGAAGACGAAGATGGCGGAGGTTCCACGACAATCAAGAGAATATTCGACCGTGTGACGACGTCAAATTATTTCAAACACGTGCGTGAACTCAAATATGTCAAAAAGGGTGTCGAGGCTTTGGCGAAGACCCCGTTGCTTCTCTCTGTCGAGCTTATACAAGTATTCGGTGTGCTCACCATCAACATTCCTCCTCCGCCTGCGGATCGCGTTTGGTGAGCATTCGAAATTCCCCTCAAGTTTTTTGATGAGGGTTTTTTCTTTCTCGATTTCTGTTTTGAATTACAGGTAACTGTGTATTATTTGTTGGCGGAGTTTAGAAATTGAAGTGTATCGGGTGCGTCGATTATTGGACAAGCTTTTGATGGGGGTAGTGAATCATTAGGGTTGTCTTAGTTCCGCGTGGGATTGAATATTTCTGACCCTGGTAGAAAAATTGAAAAACTTCCACGGCTATTCCCCATGATGTTTTAGGCATCTGAAATTGTTTTCAATTTTTAGGACGATTTTCTGGCACCTTGCTGGATGAGAAGGGAATAATTCCCAGTCATGGCCAGAGTTTCCCACGCTTGATTGAATTTAGTCGATAGATACATATTTTAAATTACCTCAGCTTTTTGATTGAAGTTCTGTCGATTTCTTATTTGAATTAACTGGATATCATTTTTCGTCAGATGTTTAAAATGCATGTGTGTAAAATATTTCTGATGCTTCCGGTTTGCAAATGAACTGTAGGAAAATTCCTTCTGTTCCTGGTGTTGCTTTCTCATACAATGTCAAGTTTTCAAGTTAGGGGAACTAGCATTTTTTGCTTTCATAAAAACAGAAAGGCTAAATCGGTGATTTTTGGGACGTTAAATAGTTTGGTAAATTAGTGTACATTACAGGATATTGAACTTGAAGGCAAGCATCAATTTGTCCCATAAGCCCCTTACTTACTTTTGAAAAGTTACATTTTTATTGATTTTCTCATTCCTTGGTTCCTAGAATAATAGCCAAAAGCACTGATTAATTTGAATTTTAGAGGGTTGAGGGGGAAGTCTTTGAGCTACAAAGGTCTATACATTGTTCATGGGGGGACTTTGGACAAAGACTGAACACTATTTTACACAGGGAGGTTTTTGAATTTAATAAGTTCAAGTTATCAAGGTGCAAGTGTATTTTATAGTGAATTGCTGATCTCCGGAACGCCTAAAAATTCCTCAACTGAGTAATTAGGAAAAATGCGTCTAATTAAAATGGATGATTCATTCCAGATTCGTGAGAATTTCCTGATGAATTCTTGAAACAAATCATTAAATGAATCGGAAAGCAGCGTGAAATGAAAGCAAGAACGAACTAAAAAAAATGGTCGAAACAAACGGAAATATTTAAAAGCTTCGAAAAACATGCTGGCAGCCAGATTCACCCCAGTCCCAGCAGTTGTATATTTGTTGTATGTTTCTGGAAAATCACTTCCCGTGCATTGTGTTATCTGAAGCAAGTTGCACTGTCGGAACAGAAAATCGGTTACCGTCCGAGTCCATTGGGAATAGTCAGTTTTAATGGGTACCATCACCACTGTCAGCGTTTCGCAGTAGAGCCCAAAAATGTACCGTGCCTTTCTCTATTTCATGGATCTCAGTGATGTGTGGATAGATGTCACTGGAGTGTCAGTCTCATTCATTTTCTACGACGGTTCTTCGGTTTCATCCTTGTGTGTGCGGGTGGATTGAATCAATAGCTTGAAGTGTTTTTTTTTCAGGTTTGGGGTAAATCTTCATAATATGAAGCACCTATTTTTTATAACTTGTCGTTTTTCAAGCGAACCTCACATTTTCTTGATTAATGAACGGAGGAAATCTCAATCGAAGATTGATTGAGTTGAAAATTCTCAACTCCGCGCTTTCAAATCACGTGTGAAATTCACATAGGAAGTATAATATTGTACTGTATAAGCTTGTCAAATTTTGTCCTTTCCTGGAATTCACTTCTGATGTACGCCAACTGCGTTACGGTTTGAGGACATCGTACGTCTACTGAAGAACAAATCAAAACTTGTTGAGGACTTTTTGAATGAATAAGCGTTTTCCTTGAAAGAATTGTTTACAAGCGTAGTGTGTGGTAATTCATTCTTTGATTTCTTACAATATTGAATTCCTACTGATGATTTATGCGCATTGAATTGGTTTTTTTTTTTTTTTTAGGTGGGGCTTCAGAAAAAAACCGCACTTGTTGATCTCTGCACGGCCAAAAGTTGGCCAAACCGCAGTGAATTTATCACACTTGGTGGAGCTCATTGAAGCCAAGCTGTTGGAACAGGTTGATGTGAGTACTACCTATTTCGTACAAAGTCAGCAATTATTTTATTTTGTGTGAGCTAGAGTTCAGATTAGTTAAAGGTCAAAATGATTCCAACTCTTCGGTATAGAAAAATACAAAGCTTTGTGAAAATTGGCCGATAAAAAAAAATCCTAACGAGATTCCAAAACTGTATCAACTTCATTTAGTACGGTAATATCTTGCTTCAACAAAGTATTGTTCACAATTACATTTTTAGGACCTTGGCCACGAGCGACATTGTTATTTGAATTTCTTCCCAACGAATCCTCTTTTCTCGGCCCCATTGATATTGCACGAGAAATGCTTCCAGAACTTGATGAAATGTGATGTTCGGTTTGCAGTCGCAAATTGTAAATGTCGCCCTGTTTATTTCTTCTGCGCAGAAATTCCTCGTTTTCCCGAATATGGACGATATCATTGTTCCCCTCATGACTCCAGTGAGCGCTCAATTCTTGCGTGCACAGTCCTGCATTCAAGTGAAGATGGATGCCGCAAAAAACAAAAAACCGTCCTTCCTTTCTGCCTCTTGAGACCATTTTGATTTCTCACGCAGTTTTTTCTTTTTCGTTTCATTCGAAATGGGAATTCGTTCTTCGGTGATCTTTTGGAAAGGCGAGGTTTCGGTTTCAATCGAACTTTTTGAGTGTGATACCAAGACTAGTGTAGTGAAACAGGAACGAGTGTGTTTTAGAGCTGTAATGTAAAACGCGCTCTCGGTTTTTTGATCTCGTTATTTTTCCTGGTGGTTTCTGGAGTTTTAAGGGCACTGCGGTGTTGGATGACGACGGAAAGGGGGAAAATACTTTTGCAGAATTTGGAAAATAAACGGAAATATCAGCGGTTCATGCTCATTTGTTGCGCTAATTTTGGGATAAGATTTATCGTTGAAAAAGTTCGTGTTCTTGATTCAGTTCATGTGTTACGCCGGTTCGACGTGTCTTCTCAAGTAATCTTCGGAACGAATACTGTATCAGAAGCACAGAGAAATTCCGTGGGAATTGTTTAACTGGTTCTACGTGGTTACGTTTTCCGCCGATGTGATGTGTATTCCTCGACAAACGTGTAGCAGTTTTTTTTTTTTTTGTGCATCAATGTGGTCTCCGGATTTGTGACAAAAATATTCGTGTGAAATTGGAGGAACTACTGTGTCAAAAACTTTTTACGCCGGATTTGCGGGAGCTTTCTTGTCGGTGAAACTGGGTAAAGCACATTTCGCTACGGAGAATGAAAGACTTTTTTGTTGTTGAAGACAATGTATGGGAAAATTGGGACAAATATTCGGTGTTTTACTAGGACTTCCGCAGCTGTGGGATATAATACATGCGAGCTTCGCTAATTGATGTTGCAGCGTGTTATGTTATGTTGACATTCAAGAAGGGGGATGGGATTTGACTCATCCGAGGAAGACGCGAGTTTTCCAAAATTTCAGAGAAAATTTCAATATAATGCGTTGTTCAATGCTAAAAAGGTTTTATTACATACGTGCAAAGCTGATTTGTGAACAACAAACAGTAAATGCAGTTACAAAAGCATGATTTCACACAACCCATAATTCCGCATTTTCCTCACAGCAGTATTGAAAGCGCAAGAAAGTAAAAAGCTATCATATAAGTGACTCGATCCAGGAGAATACAATACAGTATTGAACTGTACTGTACTCCAAAATGCCCTCAAGGCCCTGCGTTTGATTAAACATGACTGCAGTAAGATTCAGAAGCACAGTAACAAAAGAGGAATCGCCATAAATGTCATTTTCTGTTACACACTCTCGTCCATTTTTGAGATTGGCTCTTTAGAACAAAATTAGTTTAGTCCAGAGACCAAAAATGCTCATAAAACGGAACAGAAAGGAAGTCCAAAACGTGATACGCAAGCCACTGCGCGCGTTAAGCTAATTGAAGGCCACGAAGCTTCTATTTAGTGTAACCAAAAGGTAACTGGAAGAAGATGTACTTTTTCCTGTAACCTTTTGGTTACACTAACAGCGAAATTGAAGCTTCGTGGCTAAAAGGAAGCTTAAAGGTGGGAAGCATGAGCTAAAATCTTTCCAATTATTTGACAAATGCACCTTGACTCATAGGGCATCATCATCGGTTCCTTCTTTCTGATCTCCTTCCTGGGCAACTTTTCCACTATAAGCTGGATTACTGAAGTTAGATACAACTCCCTTGTACAGAGGGTTGCTTCCCTATAAGAAAAAATAAATAAATCACGGTGAGTTTTCCTGAACTTGATCAAGAAATGTCTACTTACAGCAGTCAAACCAGCCTTGGATCTTTCTTCTTCAAACCTCGCGTATTCTCTGCTATCATGGATCATAGTAAGTATTTTCCATAGGATTAATGTAAGCAGACCCAAGGCCACAATTGCTCCAATCACACCACCTACAATGCCTGCAAAGTTAAAAACATTCTAGGTTAATAATTAGACAGGACTTCAAACTGCCCAACTTCAAGCAACTGTTCCCAAAACTTGGGCACTGTATTCCATGCAAGCATGTCAACTCAAGGTTATGAGCTGACACTGATTCATGTATAAATAGATGTCACTCCTATGCAACCCCATTTCGACACCTCAATACAGGTGGACTCTCTCTCTCTTTGCAATGATCTTCTCTGTAAAACAATTTTTTTTTGGTTCTCTTCCCATGTTAAAGGGGTTCTCTGCAAGGCAATCTTCTCGGCAACGATTTTTTTTCTGGTGCCTTGAATTGTGTCGTTAGAATATTAGATATTCAAGCAAAAATTGACAAGAATAATTACCGACAACGTTGAGAGGTTCGTAGAGGAAGTCCACCTGAATATTCTAGATGACGGAATTATTCACTCAACCACTGCCACTTAGTGACATCAGTAATTTCATCCAGTAAATTCTCAAGATTTCAGTTTATTCTGCGCCAACTGCTCTGTATCCTCATTCCTCAGAGATATTCCAGACCTCAGTGGAACGGAGAAAGAAACCATTACATCTTCCACGTTGCTACGATTATTTCTTGTTCCCTTGCGAAAATATAACGAGCTTTAAAATGATGTACTTCTTCAGTGGTACGACAAAATCATGATACCTGTACACAGAATCATGAAAATGTAAAACAAATTTAATAATGAGCAAAGGCATATCGCAAGGAAACTGTGGAAACCTTCGATATTCAAGCAAAAATTGACAAGAATAATTACCGACAACGTTGAGAGGTTCGGGACATGAAACAGTCTCCTGAACTCGAACGAAGAAATCACCGAGGCTGTTGGAACGATATGCAAACTGGAAGAGACACTGTTTCTCATCCTGAAGAATGCAAAGTTGTTCATCTTCCATGATGGTATTTTCTGTAACACAAAATGTAATTCAAAGCAAGAAAATTTACAAACGGATACGAGCTGCACTCACGATCCAATGCCTCTAGCGACTTCTGCACTTGGAATGTGCAGTTCTTTTTGCAGGCGTCTTCGTCATCTCCGAACAGTCCGTTTCCAAAGATTTGACACTGCACGCAATGTTTCAGCTCACCGCATACTTCAGGGCACGTCTGGGATGGAATAACATTATTTTTCATGCGATTTCATGAGAATGAAGTTGAATTGCTCGACTGAAGCATTCTTCTGGCAATAAGATTATCGCACTACTGATCTAAAGTTTTCAAGATCATATAAGAATTTGACTGAATAACACAACTAAAAAAAATTTGTTATTCGTTCAAATATGCGAAAGGAAAATTGCATTTTCGTAAAAAATTATTTACGGAAATACACTGAAAAAAAACGAAACCGCCGATTTTTCAGAATTTGTGACTATGTAATTAAAATGGACAAAAAAATGTTTACCGTGAAGTAAATTTGGCACGGAATAAAATTCCAATCAGCTATTTAGAGCGATTTTGAGATAAATTCAGCTCGAAATGAAAGAAGTCTTCTTTCATAAGCTCGGCAGTTCCTCCATTTAGAGCAACTCCATGTTCAATTTACTGTAGCGATGATGATAAAAATTGGAGCAATTTAGAACTTGCAGATGTACTGAATTTAGATTTTTACCAAAAAAACTGCTTGAAAATTGGAAAAATTCGGTATTCAATTTTGTCAACATTTTTCTGTTCCTGTGCATAGGACATTTTTTTTATCCGAATAAGTAATGCACGGCAGATTTCAAAGATACGTAAATCCAAACTTCAATTTCCAGTAAATTGAAAAAAAAATTTTCGATTCTAGAAAAATATTTTTTACATGTACTGTCATCTAGCCCTTCTATTTCAAGAACGGTTGAATTTGTTCTTTTATTTTTTTTTGGACACATTTAATCTTTTACTCAAAACTCGAAAAATCAATACGGCATTCGGAATGACTGGGTGATCCTGACGTCAGCTCATTCCCGGAAAACACAATAGATGGCTTCCCGTCGCAAACGAATGAATCATTTCCAGCAAAAGTTAAACTTTAAAACTCGAAAATGACTACACAACAGATACGTACATAGAAAAAAAAGAGATAAAAATGTCGAACAACTTGAAATCTCACTCACAAGGCACCGTTGGCAATGTCTTCCCGAATATCTGTTCCCGCCACTGGTTTCGTCGCAAACGCATCGATTACATACGCACTTGCCCCGACCCGAGCACAACTCCCGGTCTGGACCACTGCTGCAAGACTCGGTGCTATCCATACAAGAGCAATCCCGGCCTGTCCACAAACCTCGACACACGCATTTGCCGCAAACACACTCGCCTTGACCAGAGCACAACTCGTCTCGCGAATTCTTGTAGCAAGAAAAATTGTCGCACTCGCAAAACCGCCCAGAAATGATTTCCTTGGGGTTCATCCGAGCGTGGCACCGGCATTCTCCGCAAACACATTCCCCGCTGTTGGAGCAGATGATTTCAGTGCGATTGTTCGCTTTGCACGACGACTGAAAACGAAAATACAGAGAGTCATCAAGTTCAGACAACTCGCAGTTTGTCGTTAGTCGACAAATTTCGCACTAATCATCAGGGACATTTGCAAGATTTTCGGGATTCGCGCAATAATCTCATTAATTGATATGTTATTGATTAATTATTGAAAAAACAGGAAAACGTTGACGCGAAGTTCAAGCGGGACTCTTCGTTTCCTGGGATTCTTGAGTTTTGTGAAGACTGTGGAGAGATAAATTTTATAAAATAAAGGAGGTCTCAATAGAATTAATCATTTGATGTGATCGGCCAGTAGGATTCATATAAAGGATTGTTCCGGAAGTTATTCAAACGTAAGACAAAGCAGAGTTATTTGTTACAATTTCCATTTATTCATCAAAAAATAACTGAATAAGAATCGGTCTGGTAAAAAAATATTTGAAAAATATGAGTCGATCGAAATTTGTTCGGATCTTAGGAATTCTTGATTTGGTAAGGTTCATTATTATGGCTGCCCTAGAACGTAAAGCAATTTTTTTAATCAGGTCTGCAATTTCAAGAATTTTGACTTAGAAGATTCACTGTCTTCAATACTGAAAACGGATTTCATTAAACTCGACTGAGATTCTCAAAGACAGCGATGTGAAGTTGACGGGTATGGTGAAGTAAGCTTGAACAGGCATCCAAAAAAAAACCATACTTCGAATTTTTCTGAGGCTCAAGAGAAAATCTTTTGATCAGCCCCTGGTCAAGAATAATCAACCCAGGAAAATTCGAACTGTTCAGACTTGAAAGAACGATTCATTGAAAAAGGTGACGACACAAAAATACAGTACAGTTCTACAATGAGAGGAATTTACCTGGGCTTCATCAATATTCCCTTGGGAAGCATCGCATTCGCAGTTCCGTCCCCGGAAGTTTTCGTGGCAATCACAAACTCCGCATTTCAAGTCACCATTATTGCTGCAATCCGCAGCAGACGCGACGAATCCCTAAAATCCATTCGAAAATCACTTAAGATCATACACCAACTTTTCCATTAAACAGGAAAATGGATAATATAAGAATAATATTCTTGACTTTATGAGGGTTTAAGAGATGAGATTTCAGGCCAGGGGACAAATGTGTAACAAGTGGACTTCGACAAGACTCTATAAAGAATTCATCTTTGTTTGAGACAGCCAGTGACATTCAACAAATTCAATTACAGTAATACATCACGTCTTCGAACACAAATGGAAGTCGTATCACATGGATCACAAATGCTTCACTTTCGGTCAAGCGCTGTCATGGATTTCATCAATTTGACACTGATTCAACAAGAGCTTCAATCCTTCAAATAACCAAGTAACAACTCACGTCGTTTCCAGGAATTTCGCAATCGCAATTGCAAATGATTTCCAGTTCAATGATCATGGACTCATTCACGCCAACGGGTTCAATTTTTATGATCTGCCTACGTTGAGCAGGATCTTCCGGGCATTTCGTGACCTTCGAAAAGTAAGCATTCCACAATCATGCAACCGGAAGAATGCCCAAAATCCAGAAGAATACTCCACCTTTATGACCGCAGTGAACTCAATTTCAGACTCGGCTGTCAATCCTTCGCACCTTGAGGTTTGCCACGTACGTCCACTTGCATTCGTGCATTTGGAAAAATACGAAATTTTTACCGGGCTCGTCGCATTGTCCCGAAGCTCCACAGATGATCGAATTTTCTAAAAAAAATTATTATATTTAACATTTGATAATTTCCGAAATACAGGATAAAAAAATATTATTGCCGTTACAGTTCCTGACCGAGCCTTAATAGTGTTGAAATCAGGGGCCAACTTTGGATATACTGAACGATAACAATTTTAAAAATGAAAGCTGGAGTGAAGCTATTTAAAAGTACAAAAACAAAATACAGTGTGAAGATACCGCAGCTCGGTGTGTCAGATATTCTCTGTTGATTCACGTAAAACATCAGCGCACAAAATATTTTTATGAAATTCGGCTCTCTTCAGCGTGCGAAGAATCACACAAAACAAAAAAAAAAAAAAAAAAAGCCATGCCTACACTCACATGATACTCATCCTTGATAAGTTTAATGACATTCGATGAATCGACGGAGAGGGTGCCAGCCGAGGCACCTTGGATTCTTTCCGAGAGAGCATCATACAATCCGCGGTGCTCATTCGTCACGGCGAATATAAGGTTGATCTGATGATCTTTGACAGTCTGGCTGATCTGGGAGACCGAAGGGAAATCCAGCAAAAGGGAATGATCGTAATTCCCTTCGGAATCCAAATGACATTGCCCATCATTCGGAATGACGATTCCTCCGAACTGTCGTAAGAACAGAAGAGCAAGATGATTAAATCGACGCTGGTTTATTCTTAGAATTGAAACTGTTCCCGAGAACCAAAATACAGCTTTTTTGAAAAATCTGACTTCTGGTCACGTCTTATTTTTCGGCATCTTCGATTTGCATGTCAAGCACAGGAATGCCAACGAAAATTTTAAAATCGTCCCCTAAAATTCCAAGACAAATTTCTACAACGGCGAAATATTCAATTCAAAATGAGTTGAAATTACAATAATCGCAAACTGAAATGCGACGAAGATGGTACAGTACTTAAATCATAAGCAATCAGAAGACACTTTTTTTCTGAAAATATAAAAGGCCTTCGGCTTACAGTCACGCATGAAATTGATCAAGTTCTAAAATAATATTTGGGAGCAGCCTTCAATTCATGAAGGATTACACTCAAGCATATGTATGATTTCCTCACAAATTTTGAATTTCTCCACATAAAAGAAACAGGTACATAAAGTAAACAGAAAACAAAATTTTTTAATTTTCTTGAATTTGCATAAACGAGGTTGAGAAATGAAAAGATTACAAAGTAAGTGTACACTATTCAAAATTGAAGAAATACTGAAATGTAATACCTTCCCAACTCCGGCTTGTTGGAATTTTGCATCCGTCGACAAGACCAGCAAATGGCGGGCATTCGGTCTCCATCCAATCTGTTCCGTGCAAACGATTGCTTGCACAATCGCATCAAAGCTTCCTTCTGGAGAGTCAAGATTTCCCGAGATGCGCGCTCGACTTACTCGATCCTATCAAACATCCGGTGAAAACAAGGGCAATCAGAATTTCTGCGGCTACAATTATGCACAGCATGAATGCAAGAAAAATTGTACAAAACAGAGGTTAGACATTCAGAAACAACCAAACATACACCTGAAATAAATGACATGCATAAATCGATCCACGACCGAGTTTAAAATCAAATCCCAACGAACACACTACGAAATAAAGAAGATTACTACTCACTGCAAACAAATTTCCATCTGTACCCAAAGTCAAGTGGTGTTTAAATCCATACGGTGCAGCACATCTAGTGCACGGTTCGATTAACCTACGCATACGTCAACCCCAAATCACCGTAAATTAAACCACTCACAGCCATGCACTTCCCAATATCAAAACCACGTTCACAACATATCATGCAATTCTTCAAACTCTCGGGGGTTAGGAAATGATCGATATATCTTACCTCCTAGGCACTGTGCTTGTGAACGGCATCACAACTTTATCAACGAACGATCCGAATCCCACTCGAAAGTCGGAGGTCAACGATCTCATTTCCCTCACCAATTTACTCCCCAGTTTTGAAAGAGTTTCTTTGTCATCACTCATCGAGTTCGACAAATCCATCAGATAATAAAGGTCAACAGGATAATCTTCAGCTCGCTTATAGGACACTTTGACTTCCAGATCTTCTCCTGCAACGCAAAAGTTCTTTCAACTAACAAAAGGAATCACGGGAATTACAGCGTACCAATTCGACACAGCATTTTCACGCGCTGAGGCTTGATCTGCACAACGCGCTCCGTAGTTCCAAATCTATCGGAAGTTGATGGTAGTCCGCCTTTCCGAAAATCGTCATCATTCAAAATGTTCACTTCTGGTTTCGGATTTCTCAAATCCTTGCACAACACGGTGGATACGTCTCTATTTTGACACATCGGCACTGCTTGTTGATTTGCTGCGGTCACCTGAAATACATTTGCAATTCCAAGTGTCGGAACAAAAATAATTGAATTCGCTTCTCACCGGCAGGACGCACCAGTCGCAAAAGGCAGTTTGAATGCATTCACTACAGAACAGCTTAGTGGAGCAAGAATCACTCCCGTTCCGTGTATCCAAAAAATTGCGGGACAACGCGCAACCGAAATCACACAGTAAAAACAGAAATGACAACCGCGTCAAAATCAGCATCATGATCTACACTTCTACAGAAATAAAATGAGCATTAAAATCTCCATTGTGACCTACCCTAGTGCGCAGACCAAAAGCTTTGCGCAGAATGTGGATGTAAACTGAAACCTACCATCCAAAAACTTCATGGATTTTAAAAATCGTCACTGGCTCTCGCACGTCGCGGGTTGAGTGGTGAGGCCCCATCTCGCCGGAGCAGAACTCTTGGTCGTCCGAACTCTTCGCCACTGCGCCCCCCATCCCCTCTCGCCCTGCACCCAACACTCTCTCTCCAGTGGTTGTGCATGAGTGACTTCAAGAATCGGGCATACATCCATTGAGCATGAATCGGTGTAGCAAGTATACTTGCTACAGTACTATGAAAATATTATTTGTCCATATATTTGTGAACTGATAAATGGATTGTTCCATAGGTTTTTCAAATGTAAAACATACTTTGGGAAATGTGGTTTGAACTTGGAGCAAGGCATTGCAGCAAAAAGAGACATTAATGTTGTGCAACACACACAGAATTATTGTACTCTCAAAACTCTACACCTCAGCTTTCACTCAGTGTCAGGCTTATCTTCAACCAGAATTTTCAATTTTTACTGCAGACGTTCAGTACTTTGCATTGGGGTTGTCTTCTGTGCATATTATATGTTCAATCAACTTCGCAAAAACCATCAAGCTCTCAGAATGTACCGCAACAACTGGAATTCACAAATAATTCCTAAAAATTCAAATGGGCCTGATGTGAAGGGAGTTCAACTTTCTCATTCTCACATGGAATCATTATCAAGGTGCTTCTACATGTGAAACTAGTTTTTTTAAACTTGACTTGTCAAACATGCCACATCACAACCAGTCACACCTACAGCCTGAGCAATCTCAGTATATCATTTTCAAACCACATTTCTAAAAGGTCTGCACTTTGAAACATGATTTTTGCAGTAGCAGAAATTTTCATTTGCATTGAAAGACAGTTTACATGAAAAATGTAGAGTTTTCTGTGTTATGAGAAACCTTACTAAACCTGGTGTCACAGTAGTCCTGTGACACCACTCACTGCGCTGTAAACACAAACCCTCAAGTCTGTCACTGGTGTGCGTAAAAGAGAGAATGAAGAGAATAGGGAGTGAGGGGATGGAGGGTGCAAGGGCTTAGAGTTTGGCTGACCAAGAGTTCTGCTCCGGCGAGAAACTACACCACCGGTTGAGTCGAGCTCACGGAGCTTATGCTCCAGCACTACGTGGATCCAGTCTATAAAGGGGGTTCTCCAGTTGATCGTCTATAGCGGATCTGGCATATAACATCAACAGTGAACGTCTTTCTGTTGTAACGAAGGTGAACCTAGATGTCGCTGTGTGTCTGGTTGTCCAGGAGCCATTTCGGGATTCGTAATACAGTAATGTACTCAGGACTATCAGGAGTCCCCCTCAGTAAAACGCCGTCCATATATTGCTTCGGACAAAGTACATTTTATTGTCGAACTGTGAGTTTTCCGTACGCAATTCAGATTATCATACGATTTTAACATATCTTTGGTGTTGCCACTTGCCAGTGCGTTCATTATTTGATGAGATGTCAGATCACATTCGGTTTTGGGGCGGAGGATATATATACAGTAAATGTGAATACGTTTCGGGCCATCATCGTCGAGCGATGCTGATATATGTGAGGTCATATATGCGTATTATGTGAATATGTTGCATAATAAGCTATTTACCGTATTTTATAGGACGCAAGCCGGTTCAGTCGCACTGTTCCATCAGTCGTCGCAGTTGAAAATTTTCGAGCAGAATCAGCAGATCTTATATTATTGCGGCAGTGTGATTTTTACGGATACAATTTATAACGGCGACGAAGTACAATGTATCAAGTATAATGTATACCCATGAATTTCTTACGCTTTGGAAATGGCGAATAAGTTATCTAGTGTACTGTATTTATTGCTTAAAATAATGTACATATAAATACTGTATTTATCCATTTCCGTAAATCGAATTGTTCACGTACTGCGCATGCTGTGGCCGAGAATCTATATGTTGTGCTATAAAAAGAAAGGTCAACCTTGCATATAAGCCAACATAATATACTGTATGATGGCCAATAATTGAACTGTGGAGAATAAAATAATGTACGCATACACTGTAACTTGTATATTGTGCATGACGCATGCGCGCACCAGAACTTCACTTTCCAGCATGCAGAAGTTCGCCATATTCTTGAAGCAAGCGATATACAGTATTAATGATACGGTCAAGCGCAGGCAAGATCAATCGATTACCAGATTTGTTTAATCGATTTCATAATATATATAGATGATAAATCTTCCCTGCGCGGAAGATTCTGACTCGGTTGATCTCTGAAAATATAGTTTTCCCCTCGCGTGTTCATGTGTTATTACTTTTTGCTTCAGAACGTTTTTAATTCGATTCGAGGCTTTTTCGCTGTCAATTTTGTTGTGTGGGCTGAATTCCACGTCTCCTACGTGTCAACCATGATGTGCAAAATTTCATTATGGATGTTCTTTTAATTTCTTGAAAAGTGAGGACACGATTTGTGGAGGACATGATGGTTACTTTTTTTTTTGGCTTGGGACTGCTGGGAGCTGATGCTGTAATAACTTACGCCAAGGCTGCAGCTTTTTCTCCGTACCCTTTCATTTTACTGTTCGGTTGAAATCCAGCAGTTGGATGATCGTTGTGCGTTTTTTTTTTTTTCTAGGGACGTATAAGCAATTTTACGAGATCCATTTCTCGTTTTTAAAGAGACCCAATGTAATACTGTAATCTCGTCTTAAAATATCCCGTTAAAATTTCCGTTTGTGTTTTTTTCTAGAAAACACGTGAAAAATACGGCACAGTGCTATATATACAGAGAAAGACAGTTTTCATCGGAGAAATCATCTTTTGCTTATAATTATTATCTAACTTCGGGGGTCGATCACCTTATTCTCAATTAAGTTTTTAAAAAACTCCACACGTGTCCTGCTGTGATATGCATATAAACGTTTGCATTGGATTTTTCTTTTCAATGTGGTGGGTTGCATATGATAAGCATTGCAACTACCGTACTACTGTATTCTGATTGTTATTACGACAATATTAACTTATCTTTTTTTTCGTTTGATGCATGTTACCTGGTGATCGATTAGGCAGACTTCTGTTTTGACACATACTGTACTATTCCTTCATTTGTTATCGGGATTGACGTGGTGAATTTTTACTGCGTGTTTTCTCGTGATTTTTGCTCTTATGTAGAATAGTCGAGGTGATTTTTCCGCATTGGCAGGTTTGAAGAATATGGCTGAGAGGTCCATCTTTTCCCCGGCTTTGTCCATTATTAGAAGCACTGCTAAATTGGGAATCGAATCGAACGCATCTGCTGTTGCTGATGACCCGCGACAGACCATGTAAGTACATGTGCATAAATATATATGTGTTATTTGTGTTTCAATGGGAACATTGTGTAAGAAAAATCTTCAAAACCTGCTCCGTATATGTTTTCCTATAAAATATTGGCTCCGCATGTATACATTCTTCATTTAAGTTGCTTGAATCCATAATAAATGCGCTGTTATGATTGCATGATGATGCTCCATCCAGGAAAATGAGAACTTTTCAAATTAAATTGAGCATGAAATAAGATAATTGAGGGCTTACACAACAATTGGTATATATACTTGTAGGTGGACACTATCAACAATGATCTTGTCTATATATACACAGCGATGATCTTGTCTATATATTATACTGTGTATACAATGTATAGCAATGATCGTGTCTATACAATACAACAATACTCTTCTGTGTAGCTTAATTTCCGGGCCCATCCTCATGTTTTAGGGGTTCTTTACAGCAAAATTCTCTCTACAAAGAATTTTTTCTAGTTCCTTGAATTTCGTTTCAGAGAGTTCAAGTTTATCCAAAGTAATGATAATCTATCAAATCGGAATTCAAAGATTTAAAAAGTCTTATCCGTGCGGACCGTGCCTCTATTTCAGTCCAAATTACTTTATGTCGCTTTTAAGCTGGACTTCTAAATTTTTTTATATTTTCTTATGCACTTCTTCATATATAAATCAAGATGCGTGCATCCCACTCATTGTTGACTTGCTGCATGTATGTGCGCAAATATTGAAATGGGTTGATCTCATTCTAGTCATTCAGCTTTTCTTTATTTTCTGCCAGAGGCTGACAAATGAAATGGGCTTGGAAATATTGCTTAAAATGAGGTATCAGCGGCCGAATCGATATAATTGCTTGATATCGATCATCTGGATTGGCTGGATGATAATTTTGTCGTCTAATGTTGTTTTGTTTTTGAATTGGACATAATTTAAAGTTTATGGCCAGTGCTCATCTTTGTTCTTCTGAAAATCACTTGAATTTGGTTTCTGTTGCGGGGAAAACATCAAGCACTTTTTGTGCCTGCATGAATGATGTCTGATTTTTAAACGTTTTAAACAAAGCCGAAACTTAATTATTGCTGGCATTCAAAAAAAATTTCATTGATATAGACGTAGTCAGTTCTATATATAAATTCCCTGATAATCAAAGTAATCTGCGTTGATGAATAAGGCAATTATCCAGTGACGAATGAATTGCATACTAAATCATTTCTTTCAGAGAAAAGAATGCATGCAACATTGGGTATCACCTCGGGCTGCCAACCACCCATGGTCCGATTGCCAGACGCCATCCCGATGGCACCATTTCGCTCCACCCCAATACAGCGCCACCTCAGTCGCCATTCGACTCCGTTTCCTTCGAAGAAGTCCGACGCCGCAACGAAGAAGCCAAGAAGAAACTCGCGTCCAGGGCAAACGTCGACTCATTGCCGGACATGTTCAAGAGTCTTACGACTACTCCTGCGACATCTGTTGGCCAGCTTCCTTCAGCAGCAAGAACCCTACCAATGATACGCAGTCTTTTTGACCCGTCCACTGGTTCGTCTTCTTTGAAGATGGGCTCCGCGGATTTTGTGCAGCACGGGAAACGGATTATGGAAGATATGATGATGAAAGCGACAGAAGCCGGG